AGTAGAGACAGAAAGCAAGAAATCACCCCCCAGGGGGGATGGCCACGCCGCAATCCCTTCTTCATTCTCCTCTCGGGATCTTGGGCACGCACGCACACGCGCCTGGCGTGAGTTTTAAGCCACCGGGTCCGGGACACAAACCGCGGTTGACTACGTGGGAGTCCAGCGACATAGCCATTACGCTAACTGCTGGTTCCCTTGGGAGAGGTTTTTGCTACAGGGCACGAGCGCTCACCAGAAAGACAGAGAGAGACAGAAAGCGAGAAATCACCCCTGGGGGATGGCCACACCACAATCCCTTCTCCTCCATTCTCCTCTCAGGATCTTGGGCGTACACACACCCAGTCTGAGTTTAAGGCACCAGGTCTGGGACTCGAACCGCGGTCGGCTACATGGGAGTCCAGCAACATAGCAATTATGCCAACTGCTGGCCCCTTACAACCAGACTTTTAAGGAGAATGGAAAAATACACTCAGTTTTGCATTTCTATCTCTCACGCTGCTTTTGGCAATAACCAAATAATCATTTCTATGAGAATATTGGCATATGTAACTTAAAACTATAGCTACTTCTGAAGAAAACCTATAAGTCAAATAGAAATTTAACATAGATAATTTTCTGAACATTAATAATATTAATGTTGTGGGGCCAGCAGGTGGCACGTGGTAGTTAAAGGTGCTGGACTCCCACATGGCCGACCAAGGTTCAAGTCCTGGTCCTGGACCTGGTGACTTGCTTTCTCACTTTCTTTCTGTCTCTCTCTCCAAATTAAAAAATAAAGCTAAATAAAATAATTATTAAAAAATAATATTATTGGGAACCAGCAGTAATTTTTCGCAATGGCTATGTCGCTGGACTCCCACGTAGTCAACCGCAGTTCGCGTCCCGGACCCAGTGGCTTAAAACTCACGCCAGGCGCGTGTGCGCCCAAGATCCTGAGAGGAGAATGGAGGAGAAGGGATTGTGGCGTGGTCATCTCCCCTAGGGGGTGATTTCTCGCTTCTGTCTCTATGTCTCTGTCTGTCTGTCTGGCAAGCACACGCGCCCTATAGTGAAAACCTCTCCAAAATAATAATAATAATAATATTATTAATGTTGCTATAGGGTGAACATGCTTGCTTACAGGGGGTAGGACAAGGGGCAGAGAGAGCAAGCGAAAATGAGAAAGCACCACCCCACGGGGTTGGTCACATTGTAATCCCCTTATCCTCCACTTCTCCCTTCAGGATTTTAGGCACACACATACACACATGCACCTGGCACATTTTTCAAGCCACCAGTTGGGACTCAAACCGTGCAACGGCCATGCAGAATCCAGTGCATTAGTCTCCACACTGCTGACTGGCCCAACACTAGACTGTTCATAATACCTAAAGCTGTCAAGGGAATCTGGGTCGAAAAAATATAAAGGGAGGTACAGATGGAAGCGGGGCTACTGAGAATATTTCAGCTGTGCGTTTCATGAGGGGAAACAGTTCCAGTAAATGGATCCACGGGAGAGCGCCCTGCACGGCACTTACCACGTAACAGGCTCTTAAACGCTGGCGCTCCTACTGGTCCACTCCGCTAGCAGGCCCGGAGGGGTTCTGTGCACACCAGGCACTGTGCTAAGCACTGGGTCACGTCCTCCTTTTTATTATTTTTGATAGCTTTTCTTTTGCTATAAGGTGTCTGTGCTCACCAGAGAAAAGACAGAAAGCAAGAAATCACCCCCCTGGGGGGATGGCCACACCACAATCCCCTCGTCCATTCTCCTCTTGGGATTTTGGGCACATTGCACACGCACCAGGCATGTTTTAAACCACCAGGTCCAGCATTCAAACCGTGGTCTCCTATGTGGGAGTCCAATGAAGTAACCATTATGCCATCTGCTGGTCTCTGATAACCCGCGTCCTCTTTTAATCTACCCATGTGAAGCAGGCATATTGTCCCCATGTGACGAATGAAGAGCCTCAGATATGTCAGTGGCTTGCCCAGCACACTAGGGTTCACATCCACCTCCCATAACCTGCCCCAATTTACCGTCTAAGTGCCAATTCCTACTTGACACCTGCTCTTAGAAGCTCACAGGCAACTTAAAAGTCAACATGTTAAAAGTCAAAGAGTTTGGATTATTTTCTAAAAGAAGGAAAAAACGCCTAAAAAAGGAACCAGCCAGGGACCAGCAGTTAGCGTAATGGCTATGTCGCTGGACTCCCACGTAGTCTACTGTGGTTCGAGTCCCAGACCCGGTGGCTTAAAACTCACGCTGGGCGCGTGTGCGTGCATGCCCAAGATCCCGAGAGGAGAATGGAGGAGAAGGGACTACGGTGTGGCCATCCCCCCTGGGGGGTGATTTCTCGCTTTCTGTCTCTCCGTCTCTCTCTGTCTGTCTGGCGAGCGCAAGCACCCTATAGCAAAAACCTCTCCAAAAAAAAAAAAAAAAAGGAACCAGCCAGTACACACGCACTTAAAAACCAGCCAATACGCATGTATACATACGTGCACTCCAAGTTAACTCTATAAACAGCCAATACGCATGTATACATACGTGCACTCCAAGTTAACTCTATAAACACCTTATCAACCACTGTTTCCTGGCTCAGCAGTGACCATGCTACCCGCCCATCCTGTTGTACAAACCACTGACAGAAATGAGAATCATTCTGGTCCCCGCGGGAGGGGGAGTGTCAGAGCTAGTCACAAGCAAGTACCAAGGTAACTGGCAGAGCAGTCTCTGCTTAGCACAAACGAGACACGGGGCACGGGTAAGTGCTTGGAGAAGGAAAAAAGACTTAAATGGTCGAGAGGGGGGCCAGCAGGTGGCATAATGCTTAAAGTGCTGGAATCCCACGTGGCCGATCAAGGTTCAAGTACCAGACCCAGTCGCTTGAAAATCACACTGGGCATGTCTGCATGCGTGCCCTAAACCCTAGAGACAAGACTGTGACGTGGCCATCCCCCTCCCCCCCGCCCCTGTGATTTCTCACTTTCCCTCTCTCTCTCTGGTGAGTGCACACAACTTATGCCAAAAACACTTAAAAAATAAATAAACGGTCAAGAGAGACTAGCAAAGAGGTGGAGCGAGGATTCTCTAGCTACAGCGGTCATATGAAATTTCTCGAGACCGTACAGCTGTGCAAGGTCCTGAGTGAGGAAAGGAGCCTGTCACAGGAAGACATGGGGAGGGAAAGGAAAGCGGAAGTGCTCCATCCAGCAGAGAATGCAAACGCAGAAGCCGCAGCGAATGAGCTGGGTACCCTCAAGACAAGGAAAAAACGCCAATGCGGCAGATGCAGGAAAAGACAGTACAGACCGGGCAGTGCCAGATGGAGGGCTGCTCGGCAAGCCCCAACAGTGGGTCTGCACTTCGTTCTAACAGAAGAGAGCCATCCTCACGCTCAAGGCACCTGTAGTGGGAGTGCTGACTCAGGCAACGGTTCATTCAACAAACATTAACTGAACATCTACCTAAGCCAGGCATTGCTCTAGGTGCTCAAATAGATCGTCGGGGCAAGGACAGCACGCCCAGGACGCTAAAAATACAAGGCTTCCGTAATAATCCAAACAAGGGGTGACCGCTGGGCTACAGTGGGGACAGTCCGAGCAGTGAGAAGCA